AAGAGGGGAAAACGTGACGCGGTAGGTAAGGTAATGTGTGAGTATATAGTGAGTAATTGAACTGCAGTCACAGGGTATTGTTGAAGTTAACATTCGTTCGTTACAGTGTTGTTTTAGCGCGAGTATCGAGATTAAGTGTATCGCAGAGTTATATTCGGAAAGAATAAACCAGTTTTATTAAGTAAAGACTTGTGTCGTTAAAATTTCGTCGGAACGAAGTTACGGAAAGTTAATTAACAAACGGAGACGTAACATTACTATACGTTAATTTTTGCTTGTGCTATTATGTAGGGATGATGCAAATGTCATCCATACTATCTTGTTTGAATTGTTTTTGAAGGATTGATATTAGCAATTCCAACATTTACTTCCTTTTTTTAAGTTTTTTTTCTTTACTTGTAATCTATTTATTCATTTGGTCAATGGTTACTCATTGATTAAATATATAAGCCTATACACCTTTAAACATGCAATTGCTAGCAGCCTCCTTTACAGGTCGAAAACGTCTGGTACGACTTGGCAAGTTGCCCAATAGGCGAAAACAAATCCACGTTTCCTGTGTTGAAAAAAATTGATTATTTACGTTTTGATATCATTGAGTTAACAATATACCTTTGTAGACTACGTGTGTAGTAGTACGTGTAATAATTGTTAGACATTGAAGTTTTGTCTTTTCTTCCTCAGTGTATCTCGTATTAGTCGGACAGGTTCTTCAACAGACTTGTTTTGCCCCACGAGGGTACCTCTGGCTACCTAATTCATTCAGTCGTTACATCCCAGCTGGCTGTTATACATATTTTGTGAAGTACAAGGACAATAATGACTGTTAACTTGAATAGTATTAAATATACATATATAATCTAACACTATTTATTAAAAACAAAACAAAAAACAACAAGCATCAACTTTTATTTTAAGTGGTAAGACAAAACTGACTGTTGATAATTTAAAAGCCTGTGTTTAGCTTAAATCGTTTTTTGCTGGTATTTTGTTTTATCAAATACACAGATTTTGGAGTAGTATAAAATCTTAACATATATATTAATTGTTGGTAGTTGGATGTTTGTGCAGTTTGCAACAAACAAATCTATCAGTGCGAGTGTCAGATTTGAGATAAAACCTTCGCGTGATACCTAACATCTGACGATATATATTTTCTCTCTGTGAATAAGAACGTTTAGCTTGTTCCGTTTTTATAAGTTTAATTTTAATGGCACATTTACTTCAGATAAGTTATAGTAGTGTTATATTTTGAAACTGAAAGGTTAGTTAAGAGCACAAAACTGGAAGTTTGGAGAAAATAGACTTAAACAAAAGAAAAAGGACTGAAACAGTTGTTTTTATTTGATTAAACACACAGTTTATTAATAAACAAAACAACAGTTAGTATTTTGTAGTTTTTTCTTTGCAAATGTCCGGCTTTTCTCTATTTGTGAAACAGTAACTTAGCTGGTAAATTCACGAACACGAAAGAAGAGACTTTCCTCAATTTGTGAAACAGTAACTTGGCTAGTAAACTCACGAACACGAAAAAAGAGACGTAGTGTATTCATACAAAGACTATACTGGTTAAAACAGCTAAGCTCTTGGGAGCTCGGTATCCAGTAGAGTTAGTATATTCAAGTTTCATAACATTTCCCAGAAGGCCTCACCACGCGCCCATCAGGAGACCAGTCTCATTGTCAATGATGGGGAACTTGCCTTTCTCCGGTTTCTCGCGTCTGTGCATTTAACGCTACATAAAAAACAGACAGACACACACTTTCTGAACTAATCCTGTCCACTCTTGAGACCTAAAGGTGGATTAAGTATTATGAATAGCTAAGTACATCTTTTTTATATTATATACGTACAGATAAACTGAATAATGATATATTCGTTTTCTAAGTCGTGAAAAAGATACATTTATAATATCTACATGTATATCACAGTAGTTCGACATCGTTTAAATTTTTAAATTCTGTACAAAGAAAGTTACAAGCGAGACAAAATGTAACACAGACCAAAATGCTGACTCACAAACAAAGTTGTGGAAGGTAGAAACATAGTTAATACCATGGGAACAAGTCATGCGCTACTAATATATATATATATATATATTAATCGGATGTTGGTGTACTTTGGTGACAGATTTTCTTGTAGGCAGATTTTGTTAAATAAGACCGATGTCTGTAGGTTTAC